TTATTTATGCTCATGTTATTTATGCTTCTTCTTATAATAAAATGTACTAAACTTATGTTATTTTATTTGTAGATAGCATTGGTGCTCAAACAACACAACGGGGTTCTTCAAATCCACTCACCACCACCAACACTTGAGTTTGTAACATTGGTGCATTGCATTTTCCTTTTAGTTTGTAACTTTAATTAACTTTGAATTAGATTTTCTTTTGGGTTGTAACTTTAATTCATTTTGCATTGCATTTTCCTTTTGGTTTGTAACTTTAAAGAATTTGGAATTGGAATGCTTGAGAAGTTTAACTTTAATTGGAATGCTTGGAATTGAACTTTAATTTTCTTTAGGTTGTGAATGCTTGAGAAGTTGAGGAGATTGTGAATTTATATATGCTTGAGAAGTTGGATTTTTATCACACAAAAAGAACTTGTGGTTTTAAACCGCTAAGTCACGGTAACCGACCGTTTTTTGCGGTTTACCGTAATGCGATAAACCGCAAAAAGCGGTCGGTTTGCGGTTTCAAAAATCACCATACCACAAATAGTCGGTCGGTTTGCGGTTTGGGCAAAAATTCGCGGTTACCGAACCGCAACCACCCCTAGTTTTACCTACCTTACGAAATAGTAGGTGATAGGAACTTTCCTTATTTATTTGCAACACAAAGAAGGGCACAAGTGAAGTGAAACTTAGATAGTTGTGCAAGAAACAAAATATATGGATTTGCATGGTGAAGAATAGAGATAAGGCAAAAGTAAAAGGGCAGAAGCAGAAAATAGGTGGTGAATCAAACTATAATTAGGTTTGAATAGTGTGGCAGTGGGGGCAGTCAAGGGTCAAAGATGAACAGATAAGAGAGATGAGAGAGAAAGGAAGAGGAATTTGCGGGTCCAGGGTGTCTCTCACTCTCCACAAAAATTTCGTCGTGTGGATAACATCAACAGGGTGGGTTGCTGGACTGGTGGGTTTCCATAAGAGAAACGATGTTGATTAACTGGGCCCCACCTCTACCTTAACATAATTGGCTATAATTCCTCTTCACAGTGCTGGAATTTGGATCTACTGCTGCACGCTATTCATTTGCCAGCCAGTGTGAAAAATAAATTTAAAAAAGAATCTCGTTTTTTATACTCAAAGGCGAATGGCTGGATTAAAAAATATCAAATCCCAAAGGCTTATTATCACAAAACGTCTATAACGTTTACAAAACTATCAGATTGTATTCTTAATGTTTTTTTGTGCGATTCGTGGTTCTCAAGGTTAGTATGTGTGATCACAAATAATCCCTGCTCTTAGGTTCCGTCAAAAACTCCGTTATTTTGCTAATTTGGTATATATATATATTACAAAACATCCATGAGGTTCATGCAGTAGATCTGTCACAGTCTACAAATCTGTCACGATCCACATCTACTGTTATTCGTAAACCTTAGGGACGTTTTATGATATTAAGCCAATCCCAAATCTGTCACGGTCTGCAAAGTTCATATCTTGAATTTTGGCCTCCACACGTAATAATGAATCTAGAAAATTTTGGAATTTGCGGGTCAACTTAAGAAAATCAATTATTGAATTTGTAGGGGATTTTATACGATTCGTCTTTGATTTTCTCTAGATTTTTCTCGACATCCTTTGTAGCTTTAAATTTTCCATGGACATCCTTTGGATTATGTCATATAAATCGAGAGTCGCTCTCTCGTTCTAACACAAGGAGAGACAAAAGGCATCTAGGGTTTCTTCAATGTTTCTTGGATTTCTTGAGTCACTTTTCTAGATTTAGGGTTTCGGTTAACTAACCATATTTAGTTAAGAGTTCAACAAGTAAGAATAAACACAGTTTGATTTGATTTGATTTGGTTTAGTTTAGAGCTCAACTAACCATATCCATAAAATTACCGGCTCAAATGAATTCCAATATAATTTTCGTAAATTTAAAAAGAAGCCGACATATGGATAATACTCAACCAACATCCCTGCTCTGCAATATTCCAATTTTTACCTTCTTTTGTAGTTTCAAAAGAGGTCTTCCTTTTTTTTAGGATACAGCAACAGCATCAAAAATTCAAGTAAAACATGTTTTGGCAAACTCGTGCAAAATAACAAGCACCTAATAAAATAAAATAAAAAGTACCAGTGGTTCAGAGTGTGAACCTTTTACTTGCCTGATAAAACTGAGGTAAAGATTCAGCAGCAGTGGCCAGGTTTGGGTCAGAGATGAACACCAAACGGTGTCATTTAGCGGTGGCCACGCCAGACACACACGGGTGGTGTTTACAGTGCGCCCCACGAGCCATATGAGCCCACATTGGTGAGTTGGTGTGGTGTGACCCTCTTGTCCCTGGTCAACCCGGCACACCCCGCCTGCCGGTCCACCGATATTTTTACTATTTTCGGTGTCTGCATTAAATTAAAATTATTTTTTTCTTTCTCTCTCTGTGCACGTGCACTTTTACCTCGCTCGCACGTGCTGCCAGCTAATATGAGATGAGAGGCTCTTTTATTCTTTTGACCGCATGCTTTGACAACAGGGTCCATGTACGGTTTTGCGAGCCCCACCTTGTGATAACTTTGTCCCATGGCTTCCGCCTTGACACGTGTAGGTGTGAAAACGTGAGATTAACATTCCTTGTAATTTAATTCACATTTTCGAGATATTTACGAAATTATAAAAAACTTATATTTTATAAGTATGTCGGTATGTGGATACATTTGATATTTTATTTTATTTTAAGAACAAAAAAATATGATATTATATTATTGCAAACGATAAACAAGTTACATGATCAATAGAAAGAAATATATATAGAGTTTTGCTCACCTTAGTGTCCGCATTTTAATTAAAATTCAGTCATCCTGATGTGAGTAAAACTGAATATATATATAGCAATTGAGGAGTTTGGAAGCAAGTTTTAACATGAAAGAGAAAGGGGCAAACAATGGCAGAAAAGTTGACAAAATAGAGATTCTCAACATTTTACTCAATTGATCATCTTTCTTAATAATTTTGAGAGGTGTCGTTTAGAAGAATTTCTTGTAGGGTTGATCTATAAGGAGGATTTTATTTTTGATAAAAAGTGATAGAAGTTTATTAGATGAAACAGAGATTACAAAGGAAAAAGACTGTAAAGGAAGTCATCAAAATATTAGTATGGTGGATATGGGCCAAACTTTCCAGTGACATGAGCCAACCAAAAAGCTAAAACGATCTAGAGAGAACAAGCCAACGTGATCTAGCCTAATGGAAAAGAGTCTTGACTTGAAAACCATCAGCCCCATAGCACCTTGATAGTGGGCGTGAGAAATATATATACAAACAAATTTGACGAAAATTCACATATTTAAATTTTATTATGAAAAATTGAACTTGCTTACTCGAGGGTTAGAAAGAATAGTATAGTCGTATTAGATTACAAGATCTTAATCTACATTCTTCTAGGTTAGTTGTCAGATTTTTATTATTTGGCTGCTATATTGAAGCAAAAGCTTTCAAGTTAGCTCTAAGTAAGTAGGTTAGGTTATCACTAAACTATGCTTAAGAGCACCTAATTATTGCATTTGAGAGATAATGCGGGTGACCAATCCATTACATTACTGTAGACCCTTCAATAAAACCAGATCTTAAAATTTGCTTTTATTCTTTGCTATTGTGAATGAATGCATATAATTAGTCAACCTATATTCTAAATTCTAACTTTATTTAGTCGAAAATCTGAAAAAAGAAGAGCCAGAATCATACTTTATTTTATTTGTTTTCTTTATTAAAAAGAGATTAACCCACTAACCACCCTTGTTCCTATATATCATTGTTCTGTTTAAGTGGAGAATCACTAAAGAAGTATATTATTAGGTAAATGATTTTCCCACTATTCTTTTATCCACCTACACTCCTTTTTGTTTATAAAAATGGAGTGTAAGTGGATAAAAAAAGAGTGGGAAAATCAGTCCTCTATTATTATTGTTGGATTACTGTAGCTGATACTAATTTGAATTCATTGTCACATCAGAGCCAAAGATATTCATCTTTTAGGTGCAATATTTCTATATTATC